TGAAATGGTCTTCCAGGAATTTGTGGCCATTACTCCTGGTTTCTCCCAATGGTGTCCTGGTTTTCCCAAAGGGTGAACAGTTGTTCACCAAGTCCTTGATATATTCCCCTGCTGTAGCGGTAAGCTGCTACCAGGTCCCCTCTCAACCTGCTATCTTACAGGCTGAAGAGTCCCAGATCCTTCAGCTTTTCCTCATATGGCATGCCATGCAAGTCTCTAATCATACAGGTGGCCCTCCTCTGGGACACCCGTAATGTCTTCCATGTATTTCATGAATTGTAATGAAATTTCATGTACATTTAATGAAATGTAGTGTCTTTCCTGAATTTCAGCATGCATTATCATGTTTTCTTTCCACTGTTTCCTTTTCATTGAATAATTTTTTAGAAAGCTGCAGTTTAAGCATATGGCTTATACAAATTCATATTAAGAAACAAACTCATTCCAGGAGAATTTGCTTTCACTCTGAATAGAAAGGCAAAGGAAAAATTAATATCTCCATTATATAGATAGTTACCTTGGGCACAGGAAGATAAGCTGATTCAATCAAGGTCGCACGTGAAGGCTGTATCAGAGAGTCTCCTAAACCAGTTATACTGGTTATCAACAGGGATCCTGGTTTTCTCTGTTTAAAAAAATGCAAATTCTCTGATAAAATCACATTCTCTATGATTCAAAACCCCCAAATTTGCATTTTTCCACGATTAAAATGAAACACTTCTACAGATATCAATTGAACAGAATGATTTATTGATATATTTACAATGTTTAAGCTATTTGGATGCCTACCAGTGCTTCAATCACTATAATAAAATAAATTCTAGAGCTCTATAAATTTTGCTGTATGATTTTAGGTTATTTATCATGGAAAATCAGAGCTCTCCCTGCCTCCATTCATCAGGCTGTCCCCCACGCTACTTTGTGGCACTGAGAAGCCCTGATATGTCAGTGCCTTGCCCATGACATTGCCCCTCACTCCAAACCCACAGGCCCCTGGCCCTGCTGGTGCCCCTCACTTCCCACCCACATACCCCTGGCTTTGCCAGTGCCCCTCAATTCCCATTAACAGCCCCTTGGCTCTGCCAGTGCTCCTCACTCTGTGACCCAAAGCACCCCCACCCCTACTCGTGCCCCCCCATCCGCAGCCCTGCCAGAGCCACAGGCCCAGGGACCTGGATCTACAGACCCCTGCCTCCACTAGCAGAACCAAAGCCCAGCTGGCATGCACAGGCTGCAGAGGCCCCTGGTGGAGGGCAGCAGGGTGGAGAGCCCTGAGTCTACATCTGCTTCTACCCCCACCCCTCAAACAAATTGAAGGAGCATGTACCCCACCCCCAGGAGTGCACACAGTAGCAGAGAGACAGCCCTTCCCCAGCACCTCCCCAGGATGAGCCACCCATAGCTCCATGCTGCTCCCCACCCAGTCCCTGTGGCTGCATATTCCCACCCCAGCCCCAGGCCCCAATCCCCATACACTGCCCAGGCTGGGCAGCACCTCCAGCCCTAGACCTGCCTAACTCCCTCACTATGGGGGTCTCAATTCCCCCTACCCCATCTTACCTGCAGGGAGTGGTGGGAGCTGCTCTCCACACTGCCAAGCTGCTATATGCATGTGTACATGTGCACATTCACATGACACCCTCTGCCTGATCACCTCTTCCTGCTCCCCGCAGATGGTTGCAGGCTGGAACTTTGTCAGCCTGCAAAGGGAACCCTGCCATTTCCTGCATTTTTCTCCTTTAAAGGAAGAAATCTGCTTTTTTCTCCTTAAAATGAAAAAATCCACATTTTCCCACATTTTCCCATGGCAAACAGAAAACCCGGATCCCTGGTTATAACTGTTTTTAATTCCACTGGTAATATATAATGTATCCAAACCTTATGTCACAGGATCCCAGAGCCTCAGAACATTACTATATTCATGTTGCATATTAATTGCCCTTTTTTTGACAGCTTCTCACCATTATCTGAGAAAAAAGCAGCTACCAAAGAATGCTATTTTTATTTTTATTGTTCATAATGAACAAATACAGATACTATTCCTTTTTTATACACCATTTCTCTCACCACATGTGATCCACTATTTCTCTGAACAAGACTGAAATTCAGTCTTTCTATTTTACATTGTAGTCAACATAGAAAAAATTGTTATTTTAAAGGCTTTGACTCACAAACGTTATCTGTAACCAACACCTATAATGTCTTTCTGAGGTTTGGAATCTAGGTATAAATGTATGTTCACAAATGCATTTATGCACAACATACATAAATCACATACAGAGGTAGTAGCTATTTCAGAGCTATCTACCTTTGACCACTCTCTGTCCACTGAATTTATAGCATTCCAACATTCTGAGCAGCTTCTAAAAGCAGCTGTTTTTTAGAAATCAACTTGCTGCAGAAATATTTCCTTACATTTTAACCCTAAAGTCATCATTGGCTTATGCCTAGAATGATGTAAGTTTCTTTTTTCAGTTTTTTTACAAGTTTTAATTTTTGAAAACCAAAAATCTTTTACTAGAACAATAATTTTTCCCAATAATTCTTTTTGAAACACCAAGATTTTTTAACCTTTAATTTCAGATCTTTGAGGAAATTGATTACAATTCTACAAAAAAAAAGTCATTTTTATTAGGTGCAGCATTGATAACTTTAAGAATATGGCCCTAACATGACTATAAACTTATAAAAAAAACATTAAAATCACTTTTAGAGGTGTATTTATTGGGCCTTGGGAGAGTATAGGATTGCCTGTATCCTTTTTTTTTTTTTTTTTTTTTTTTTGGGGAGTTGG